AAAAAAAAAAAAAAGTGTGAACCTCTCTTGCATTCTGACGCTTAAAGTATCCATTGGCTGATATTGTTATTACTTGATTGTTGCACGATTTGGAGACACATATGCTCTACTCTATATAGCGACTCACCATCTTCATCTTGGCTGCAACAATCGCGGCACAAACTCTATTTGCAGATCAACACTTGCGTCAGCAGCTAAAAATTTATATAAGTGATTTATATATAGATTAGCTTCTATGTTCTATATAGCACTGCTGTATATGGCGACAGCTACCCACTTGTATGCAACACACTCTTTCAGAACACGAACACACACCGAGATGAGCGCGACAGATGAAACGCTGGGAAAACGTGCGCGTTTCAATACCGCTCCACGATTCGAGATGCGAACTCGAGCAGATTTGAAGTTCAAATAAGAAAAGCAGAGCCGACGCAGGGCTATTTATAAGAGCATCAATCCGAACAGGCAGCGCACCCGACATCGGATAATACACTTCGAGTTGACTCGGCTACGCATGCGCCGCTGCTCGTCGGTGGTGCTCGCTGACGGTGATCGTGCTGCTGGTGGTAGTGGTGCAGGTGAAGCTGCCAGCACTTCAAGTGCAACAACCACAGAGCCTCTGCGTTGGCGTTTGCGGCTTCCTGCCAGCTGACGGCAGCTCGTTCCATTTGCTACGCAACGACTCGACAATCGGGCAGCCGAGTTGCCAAGACGGCTCGCAGATTCACGTTTTTGGGCTACTGCCTCACATTTGATGTGACCGTGAATGTGTCGCAAATTGGCCGACTAGCTTTAATAGCAGCTAACACTTTGGATGCCCTGTAGCGAAGGGGCTTATTGGGAAGATAGCCAGACAAATGGGGTATACTCAAAATAGTGTAGGGCACGCTTCTAGCTGGGCAGCAATAGAGGTGTATACCCCATTAGTATTTAAAATTGGTATTGCTAATAATTGTAATATTCGATATGCGGATTCGTTAAATGGAATTGCAGATAAATGTTAGCTACAATAATACATATATACCCCGTACTCGTAGAATTTAAATTTATATAAGAGCTGGCTAGAATCCAACTACTAATTGTAGGGTACTTTTGCTCTTAAAAAATATTACGAACTCGCATAATATAATCGTCTTTATAGTTCACAATCGAGAACAGGGTATGTATATGTCAACCATACTATAATTTAATAGCTCTAATACAAAAACAGGGTATCTTCAGTCTAGCAACTAATGAGCCCGTTTAGAGGGCATCTTGTAGTCCATCACTTAACCAAGGCGAAACCCTACTGGCTCAATTGGCTCTAGTTTTCTTTTGTCTACAGCATTTTGAGGGCTCTCGTTGCGTTGCCTGACCTTAGCTGCCAGCTTCACTGAAATTGAATTCACTCGAGGCTCGAGGCTCGTCGATTAGCAGTTAGTACTGCTATAAAAGTATTGCAAAGGCGCGAGATTAATTCAAATTTCATCAATCATCGGCTCGACTGGAAACAAAGTCAACGAATTTCGTAACTGCACCCAAAAAGCGAATGCAGCATTCGGGCATTTGGGCACTGGGTCTCAGATTCTACGTAGAAACCTTGTTCAAAGCATTTTTAATTGCTAATTAATGTTGTTTCATTCATTAATCGAGCTGCTGACAAATTATGGCCGTTTAATGGATTGCATAGCAGATTAATTCGAGACCCTAAAAATAAAACCAAGTAAACTAAATGCACACACAAAAAAAAAAAAACTGGAAAAAAAAATACAAATGATGCTGGTTGAGCTTAAGTTGAAACTAGAAATTCAATTATTGTTATAATATAAATAGTCAAATAACCGGAAGATAGACGATATATCGATTTGTACATGGGTTCAAGTATTTCAACTTTCAAATGCGATATTTTTGTGGCAATCAAGCCAAAAACAACAGCAACAACAACAACAAAAACAAATGCACAACAAATTAACAGCTCTCTAAGCTAAAAGTTTTCAACTTTAGCTGA